TTATAGTATTTATTTCTCGTCCCGGTTGTGAAGTACTGTCGCCGTTATAACCCATTTTGTTGAAGATGGAAAGACGAAAAACCTCAATGTTACAATGTTCGTGAAGGAATATTTTAGATAGCTTATTATGAGTAGTTTGTTCCCCCTTTGTTTTGTAGAGGTCATTCTTCGATGAATCGTCTCCTTTTTTAAGGCTTTCTTGGGCACGATAACAGCCCACTGTTTTCTTTTGATAGTATCTAAACATCTGTTTGAATAAAAGTGAATAGCATACAGCTCTTTATTTAACGTGCATGACTATTTCGCATAACATTTCACAACACGCACTAAATCTGAAGAGCTACCACGCAATGTGACAACAACATTAAAATGYTTTTTTTTTCCTTAGGATACGGCTTGAAGTGTTACGAATGTTTGACCACCAAAGGCTGGGATGACTGCAAAGACATCAGAAAAGAAGTAGATTGTCCTTCCATTAGCGATCGCTGCTATAAAGTATCTGCAGACGTAAAAGACGAAAGTGCATCCGCTGCAGCATATGGGAAAGGCTGTACGACTAAAGAAATTTGCGATAGTGACCTTAGCACCCTCGACATCTGTAAAGACAAGGGAAAATGTGAACTAAATTGTTGTTCTGGAGACCTGTGTAACGCTGCCACACTACAGAAAGTCAGCGTCGCTGCTCTCATCACATGCACTTTGATGGCTTTGCTGTATTAGGATGAAAAGACGTAGTTTTGTTAGTTGTTGTTGAACTTTGTAGTTATAGAAAGGGCTTAATGCAGTTGTTATGAATATTTTCATAAGTTTTGTTCTTTTTAGTGTACTGAAGCAAAAATTTTTACCACGCATGCTTGTTAAACATCTTATAATGAAAAGCCGTTTAATTTTTTTGCATCTTGTTTTGAAAAGCTGTTTCATTTTTTAATAAAAGGTTGTTTAAAGTTTTCATTATGATGATCTTTGCATCTTTCATTGAAAATAATTTCATTCAGTCCAAGGTGAGATCAAATCGAAATTATAATTTTAGTTCGGTAACACTTCTCGTACGTCTCCTCCACGAAACGTGTGTCAAAATGTATCATTATTTCATGAAGTGGATGTTTTGAATAGAATAGGAAATGCTGCGCTAGGGTTACAGAGAAACTTAAGAGACCACGCTCAACCAGAGTGCATTGTGGGCGAAGTCGCTGGTTAGCCGATCAAAAAGGGCTGCATTTTGTCTCCGTTTCAAGGCTCAATTTCCGATGATCACTACAATTTCAGCACTTCAGTTAAAGTTCTCAAGCAGTTCTGGAAATAAAGGATTCTGTAGCCTTCGCCACAAAATTTCGTCTACACGATGCTTCTGAGAAAATAATTGGAGAATTGATTAAGAAGCGCGTGCATTTCTTTTAGACATATATCATGAATCCTTCAATTTTAAAAAATGCTTCCTC